TCCCCTCCCCCGTCCCTTTGTCCTCCCCACCATCTTCCACTCCAGCGTCCCCTTGTCCTCCTAACCATTCCCCACGCCCCAGTTTCCTCATCCTCCCCACCATTCCAAACTCCACTGTCCCCTAGTCCTCCCCCCACAATTCTGTATTCCCCTGTCCTCCTCATCCCCCACTCCCCCGTCCCCTCTTCCTCCCCATCATTACCCCCTCCCCTATCCCCTCGTCCTCCCCACCATCCTTCACTCCCCTCCCCCTAGTCCTCCCCACTCCCTCGAATGATGCATTCCCAAATGATCTGATGTTCCCATCATAAAATTGGGAACATCAAATGATCTGAGGTTTCCATCACTGAAATATATATGGAAAACAGTTAAAATTCGAAATGAAACAATGAAAAAATGAAAAATAAACCATACTCACGAAATGAACAGTGTGGTAAACAATTCAGCTCAATTCCAATGCATTGTCATACAAAATAAATATATCAAGATGAAAATAAATCAAAATCTTTGAAAATTAAATTTATCAATGAAATCAGAAACATTGAAATCGAATCGTAACATATTTAGTATAGCATGTGTTGCATTTTCGTGCAACAGATGGCGCTGCTTTTTTTAAAGCATGTTTTTACCTGTCACAGGTGTGACATCTATACTTATACTCACGAAATAAACAGTACGATTAACATCACAGCTCAATTCCAACGCAATTTCACACAAAATAATTAAATCAAAATGAAAATAAATCGAAATCTATGAAAATTCAATTAAACAATGAAATCAGAAACAATCAGAAATGGAATTAAAGCATAATCTAGCAAAGGATTTGTTGCTCTTACATGCAACAGATGCCGCTTTTTTCTTAAAAAAAAATTGTGTTACCTGTCACAGGTGTTGCATCTATACTTATCCTTACGAAATGAATGGTATGGTAAACAACACAGCTCAATTTCAATACAATGTCACATAAAATAATTAAATAAAAATAAAAATAACTCGAAATCTATGAAAATTCCATTTGTCAATGCAATTAGGATCATTGAAATGGAATTGTAACATGTTTAGTATAGCATGTGTTGCTATTACATGCAACAGATGGCGCTGTTTTTCAAAAAAACATTTTTTTCATCTATCACAGGTGCTGCATCTATATAGTAGGTAAATAAAAATTCATGTGTATTCGAATGTAACATTGTGTCAAAATTTCAAAGCAATTGGTGAAGAACTTTTGGAGATTGCAGCTTGTGTTGCTCTTACGTCTAACAGATGGCACTGTTTAAAAAAAGGCTTATTTTTTTCCTGTCACAGGTGAGGCACGTTTATAGTAGGTATATAAAAACTCTCGCCTATTTGAATGCAACGTTGTGTCAACATTTCAAAGCAATCGGTAAAGAGGTTTCGACGATTTCCCTCACATGAAAAACACACGAAAAACACAGTTTAAAAAGCATGTTTCTTCCCGTTATAGACGTGACATCTATATAATATTTACATAAAAACCCACTCTGATGCGAATGGAACGTTGTGTGAAAATTTCAAAGCAATCGGTGAAGAACTTTCGGAGATTAGCGATTTTGAACAAACGAACATTTACATTTCTATTTATATAGATAAAGGCAAATTAATCGGTCAGTTGAATTGACTTTTAATCTCATCCTGCTACTCTGAGGCCAGATTCACGAAAGCACTTACGCAAACACTTACGAACCTGTATATATCTTTTCTCAATCTTTGGCGGCTTTGTTTCCAATTATTAAACACTTAATGAGCTCCGAAGCACCAGGAGGCTGTTTATAACAATAACAGGAGTTGAATGGCAAGTTTTCATGCTTGTAAACTGTTTAATAAATGTAACCAAAGCCGTCAAAGATTGAGGAAAGATGTACACGTTCGCAAGTGTTTGCGTAAGTGGTTTCGTGAATCTGGCCCCTGGAACATTTGTGTAAATCCTGAAGCAGAAAGCTGATACGAGGAAGTAGCAGATTTGTGTAGAGGAAATCTTATGTAATGTATTGGAAGATTTAGAGTCTTCCGGAAGTATACGAACGAAATCAGTTGTGAGTCGCATGTAAACCGTTTTTCATTCATAAACAGGGGGTTTGGCGGCTGCATGGAATCACTTTTAGGTCTTTGTTTAGAAGACGGCCGACATGAACGATTCAGTTGTATGTGATATTGACGTTCGACGCCTAATGCCACTTATTCATGACAATTATCCTGGTTGCGTGGGTCGTGCAGCCCCCTCCTCCAATCAAAGACCCAAAATTGATTCCATGCACCCGCCATACCATCTGTTCATGAATGATAAACGGTTTACATACAACTCACAACTGATTTCGTTCGAACACTTCACTTCGGAACAAGTGCTTCACTGACGAATTTTGTTCGAACCACAACGCTGTAAATGCTTCACTCACATACTACAAATACAAATAATCGCCAACAGAACCAAAACACCTAACCAAACCTAACCTATACCTATATGTACAATATGCTAATATATTATAATATTAATTTATACTTGAGAACATTTCTGTTTTTGAATGAAGAGCATGTTGTTGTGTTTGTTGTTGAGTTAGGGGCGACGACGATCGTGGGATCGGATGCGCCCCAGCGTACCCGTTAAGGGTGAATCGCAAAGCCAGGAAAGGCGAAACGCCAAGCCAAAACGCGAAACGAATAACGACAAGCAAGTGGCATAGAAACTAATATCCCACACGGCAAAGAAACGCACAAAGGCAGAGGCATAAGCACATAATATAAGAGGGCAAACAAACAGCCAGAAGGGCACACAGCATGTCATAGAGCAAAAACACAGGAAATCAGAGTACCTACTTGCCTGGAAACCTGGCCCGCGGGGACCGTACATTGAACGCTTCCCAGAGCACCCATCGCCAAGGGTCTCATCCATCCACCGGGGACGCCATAACATCCGGAACCGGGGCAACAAACACCCGCAAACAGGGGACCCAGATGGTAGTACTCATGAGGCAAGAAGTCGGCACTCGCCCCCACATGAAGGGATCCTGCACACCATGAAAGTTCTCCGGTCCGTCAGACAGCATTAACTCGGCAATCTCCGACCAGTGACCCGGCGGCATCACAGACGCCGGCAACACGTCCTCCAGGGCCCCAACATGCACCCTCACAGGAGCGAATGGGCACCAGGGCACCACCACCGGGGCACCCGCGGCCCCGGGCACACCACCAGACGACAGCAGGGAACCCAAACGGCGCGCATCCTTCCGTAATGTCACCACCAGGCCACGCCCAGCACCAGAGTCCACACTATCCCTGGCAGCGGAAGCCACCACCCCTGACTGCGGAAAGTCCCCTGGAGGAGAAAAAACCGAAGGCACGTCCGAGACACAGGCACCAGCACCAGCAGGCACAAGGATCTCTGCCACCACGAACTGCGAAGACATCGACGTATCCGTATCCACACCGTCAACATCCGAAGACCCACAGTCACTGAAGTCACCATCATCGGCCAAGGCAGAAGACAAACGCTGGGAACGTTTGGGCTCTGGCCGGAAATCGTCAGGGCCAGAAGCAGATCCAGAAACACGGGCACCACGAGCCGGACGAACCGCCGCCCGACACAGAATGGCAGCAGCCTCTACCATAGGGGGAACCGGGCCACACACAGCAGGAGGCTCTGCAGCCACCCCAGCACCCAGCACATACAGGACCTGAGTCACAAACACAGGGTCAGGCGCAGCATCCAAAGACGAGGGAGAAGACGGCGATGCCACACAGGGAGCACCAGAAAGGCCCACGGTAGCAGCCTGGACAGTGACAGGATCAGGCAGACCAACTGACGATACTGCAATACCCGGAGGAGGGTCGGCAACAATCGGAGGAACGTCAGGCGTCGCCGGGGGAGCTACAGCAGCGAACGGGATGAGCACCTCCTCAACATTTCTGGAGACTGCCTCCAGTGGGAGCGGCGAGAAATCCTCTTCTTGGAACAAGTTGACAGGAGCAGCTGAGGCCTCAAAGCACCCTGCAGCCTGATGTCCCAACAGGCCACACCGGAAACAGGTACGAGGCTGCCGGGCATAATACACCCGGTCTTAGTATCCCATAAGCCGGACAGAAGAAGGTATATCCGACCGCAGGCGCATTCCCAACATGCGAATGTTCGTTCGCCTTCCAGCATACCGCTCCGAGGAGAGCGTGTTCATCCGCATGCTGACAACAGTACCAAACTTCCCGAAGTAACGCCATAGGAAGTCTTCAGGAAACTCTAGGGACGCCCCATGGACGCTGACATAAGTCAGGGCTCCACTACGATCCGAGATCGCCACAGAGCCGGCATCACTCGGCAACGACAATGTACGCCCCTTGTACCGACGGAGGAAGTCCCGGTACTCCTCCTCCCTCACGAACTTGAGAACAACCCGGTGGGCTGTAACAAGCTCAATACCATAGATAGCCTCCACCGGGATACGAAGCATGTCACACATAACCAACTCTATGTCCGAATATCCAGCCCAACTAGTGAACTCCAAGCCTACGGAGTTCACAAGCACAACAGGGGGAAGATGGCCTCCCATGTCAAACTTGCCCCATCAACACGCAGCCAGGCAGCAACACAAACTGCAGGGGGGGGGGGGGTGGCAGAGACGCCCACACCACCTGGCGACCAAAACGGCAAACACCCCAACTACCAGAGGCCAGGCGACACGTCTGCACCTCACGGCAGCTCCAGGTCAAATGAAGAGCATGTAAAAATTTATGAATGCGTCAGGGGTCGACCGCTGGATGGAATGGACTGGAATCAAGGGTGGACTGGGGTCAGGAAACTCACATGATAAGCTGTATCCATTCTAACACATGTTTATAGATGTATTATGAGTAAGACTTTTAAATGCTACTGTCTAAATACATTAAGATCATAATATGTGTTATTTAAATAGAGCAAAATAAGCAAGATACACGTGTAAGTGGACACATATACATAACAAAGTATCAACGCACAAACAAATATTGACACCTACTTTTTCATAATGGCATTTTGGAGTCCTTGAGCATTCGAGGCTACGAAATACATGCGGGCAGCCAGCGCCCTAAACAAGGGAGAGTTGGAATGCTTGTAGGTGTAGTAGAAGTAGTACTCGATGTCGGAAAGCATAGAAACTCTGTCAAGATACAATTATGTTGTTATAAGTTTTCTCATCAAGAAAGTGACGTTGTGTCTACTTGGAGTTAATAATGTACACAGAGAAATCACATTATTGTGTTATATCAATGAGATATATCTTATAATTAATAATTATGATATATATCATTATTTATGATATATTTCATAAATATTGTATAACATATATAGTATATAAAAGATATATCATATATCTATTTCTAATTAATAATGTGTTTCTATGGTGGTATCTATATTTTGGTTGCTTGAGAAACTTTATTATTTGTTCTATCTCACTTTACTAAGGCATTCCTCCTTGATCACGTCGGAAACGAGGCAGCAGGTGGTCGAAGTTGTTGTTGTTGATGTTATTGGGTATTCAGCTGCTCGGAACAAAAGTTCCAGCTAGTACGGGCTAGGGTGAGCCCGGAATGGTGAAGGGGTCAACCAGCTGCCCAGAGCAGACACTTACAGCGCCACCACACAACCTCTAACAGTAAATCACTCTATTTATAACATAATAGAAGACAAAACATTTTATATAAGTTGGATAAGTTTTGATTTAAGAAAGACCTGGGTAAATACTGGTTCGGTAATAAGATTATGGATTTGTGGAACCAATTACCAGGTAACGTTAGACAAAGGATCCCTTGATGGTTTCAAGCGTAGGTTAGACATATATATGAATGAGTTTCGGTAAAGCCTTCTGTTGTTTCCTTGATTCTAATGTTCCAATGTTCAGAGCCTTATGTGACAACATTGACCCAATATGCTGACCAAACCACACGTCAGAAGATGGAGAAGCGACGATACTTCTCCTGGACCATTATCAACCCTTGTGATATTGGTCCATTATCAAGTCTTGTGATATTGGTCCATTATCAAGTCCTGTGATATTGGTCCATTATCAAGTCTTGTGATATTGGTCCATTATCAAGTCTTGTGATATTGGTCCATTATCAAGTCCTCTGATATTGGTCCATTATCAAGTCTTGTGATATTGGTCCATTATCAAGTCTTGTGATATTGGTCCATTATCAAGTCTTGTGATATTGGTCCATTATCAAGTCCTCTGATATTGGTCCATTATCAAGTCTTGTGATATTGGTCCATTATCAAGTCTTGTGATATTGGTCCATTATCAAGTCTTGTGATATTGGTCCATTATCAAGTCTTGTGATATTGGTCCATTATCAAGTCTTGTGATATTGGTCCATTATCAAGTCTTGTGATATTGGTCCATTATCAAGTCGACCATTGTCTAGCGACTTGATAATGGTCCAGAACGGACCGAAACGTCGTCGTTTGTCCATCATGTGATGTGAGGTATAGTCATCATGACTATACCTATGTGAGGTATAGTCATCATGACTATACCTATGTGAGGTATAGTCATCATGACTATACCTATGTGAGGTATAGTCATCATGACTATACCTATGTGAGGTATAGTCATCATGACTATACCTATGTGAGGTATAGTCAACATGACTATACCTATGTGAGGTATAGTCATCATGACTATACCTATGTGAGGTATAGTCATCATGACTATACCTATGTGAGGTATAGTCATCATGACTATACCTATGTGAGGTATAGTCATCATATCTTCAGCAACGTTATTATGACACATCGTCTGCATTGATCCAGTAATCACCACAACAGATCGACATCGTGTTGACGAATCTCTGGTAAATAAAGCAGCTTTGTCTCAAGTTGTCAACTTGTTTGATCAACAAGTTGTTGCTCAGACTTAAGACTTATCTCTACACCTGGCGAGATCACACGACTCTCTCACTCGCAGAGACACCACTACTCTGTGTATCCGGCCTACCCACCCGTCACTACTCTGTGTATCCAGCCAACCCACCCATCACTACTCTGTGTATCCGGCCTACCCACCCATCACTACTCTGTGTATCCAGCCTCCCCACCCATCACTACTCTGTGTATCCAGCCAACCCACCCATCACTACTCTGTGTATCCGGCCTACCCACCCGTCACTACTCTGTGTATCCAGCCTACCCACCCGTCACTACTCTGTGTATCCAGCCTACCCACCCATCACTACTCTGTGTATGCAGCCTACCCACCCATCACTACTCTGTGTATCCAGCCAACCCACCCGTCACTACTCTGTGTATCCAGCCAACCCACCCATCACTACTCTGTGTATCCAGCCTACCCACCCGTCACTACTCTGTGTATCCAGCCTACCCACCCATCACTACTCTGTGTATCCAGCCAACCCACCCATCACTACTCTGTGTATCCAGCCTACCCACCCATCACTACTCTGTGTATCCGGCCTACCCACCCATCACTACTCTGTGTATCCAGCCAACCCACCCATCACTACTCTGTGTATCCGGCCTACCCACCCATCACTACTCTGTGTATCCAGCCTACCCACCCGTCACTACTCTGTGTATCCAGCCTACCCACCCGTCACTACTCTGTGTATCCAGCCTACCCACCCGTCACTACTCTGTGTATCCAGCCAACCCACCCATCACTACTCTGTGTATCCAGCCAACCCACCCGTCACTACTCTGTGTATCCAGCCAACCCACCCATCACTACTCTGTGTATCCGGCCTACCCACCCGTCACTACTCTGTGTATCCAGCCAACCCACCCGTCACTACTCTGTGTATCCAGCCAACCCACCCATCACTACTCTGTGTATCCAGCCTACCCACCCATCACTACTCTGTGTATCCAGCCAACCCACCCATCACTACTCTGTGTATCCAGCCAACCCACCCGTCACTACTCTGTGTATCCAGCCAACCCACCCATCACTACTCTGTGTATCCAGCCAACCCACCCATCACTACTCTGTGTATCCAGCCAACCCACCCATCACTACTCTGTGTATCCGGCCTACCCACCCGTCACTACTCTGTGTATCCAGCCTACCCACCCATCACTACTCTGTGTATCCAGCCTACCCACCCATCACTACTCTGTGTATCCAGCCTACCCACCCATCACTACTCTGTGTATCCAGCCTACCCACCCATCACTACTCTGTGTATCCAGCCTACCCACCCGTCATTACTCTGTGTATCCGGCCTACCCACCCGTCACTACTCTGTGTATCCAGCCTACCCACCCATCACTACTCTGTGTATCCAGCCTACCCACCCATCACTACTCTGTGTATCCAGCCTACCCACCCATCACTACTCTGTGTATCCAGCCTACCCACCCATCACTACTCTGTGTATCCAGCCTACCCACCCGTCACTACTCTGTGTATCCAGCCTACCCACCCATCACTACTCTGTGTATCCAGCCTACCCACCCATCACTACTCTGTGTATCCGGCCTACCCACCCATCACTACTCTGTGTATCCAGCCTACCCACCCGTCACTACTCTGTGTATCCAGCCTACCCACCCATCACAGCCTACCCACCCATCACTACTCTGTGTATCCGGCCTACCCACCCGTCACTACTCTGTGTATCCAGCCAACCCACCCATCACTACTCTGTGTATCCAGCCTACCCACCCGTCACTACTCTGTGTATCCAGCCTACCCACCCATCACTACTCTGTGTATCCAGCCTACCCACCCGTCACTACTCTGTGTATCCGGCCTACCCACCCGTCACTACTCTGTGTATCCGGCCTACCCACCCGTCACTACTCTGTGTATCCAGCCAACCCACCCATCACTACTCTGTGTATCCGGCCTACCCACCCCCGTCACTACTCTGTGTATCCAGCCTACCCACCCGTCACTACTCTGTGTATCCAGCCTACCCACCCATCACTACTCTGTGTATCCAGCCAACCCACCCATCACTACTCTGTGTATCCAGCCAACCCACCCGTCACTACTCTGTGTATCCAGCCAACCCACCCATCACTACTCTGTGTATCCGGCCTACCCACCCGTCACTACTCTGTGTATCCAGCCAACCCACCCGTCACTACTCTGTGTATCCAGCCAACCCACCCATCACTACTCTGTGTATCCAGCCAACCCACCCATCACTACTCTGTGTATCCAGCCAACCCACCCATCACTACTCTGTGTATCCAGCCAACCCACCCATCACTACTCTGTGTATCCGGCCTACCCACCCGTCACTACTCTGTGTATCCAGCCTACCCACCCATCACTACTCTGTGTATCCAGCCTACCCACCCATCACTACTCTGTGTATCCAGCCTACCCACCCATCACTACTCTGTGTATCCAGCCTACCCACCCATCACTACTCTGTGTATCCAGCCTACCCACCCGTCATTACTCTGTGTATCCGGCCTACCCACCCGTCACTACTCTGTGTATCCAGCCTACCCACCCATCACTACTCTGTGTATCCAGCCTACCCACCCATCACTACTCTGTGTATCCAGCCTACCCACCCATCACTACTCTGTGTATCCGGCCTACCCACCCATCACTACTCTGTGTATCCGGCCTACCCACCCGTCACTACTCTGTGTATCCAGCCAACCCACCCATCACTACTCTGTGTATCCAGCCTACCCACCCGTCACTACTCTGTGTATCCGGCCTACCCACCCATCACTACTCTGTGTATCCAGCCTACCCACCCGTCACTACTCTGTGTATCCGGCCTACCCACCCGTCACTACTCTGTGTATCCGGCCTACCCACCCGTCATTGCGGTGGTGAGGAGACGAGGTTGGTAGTAGTGGATCAGTGTTCTGGTGGTGGGACGAGTGTGAGGAATTGACCTGTGAGATTTATATTGATTTAATTGATAGGTAAACATTCACTACAATATTAGACAACATAGGTAACTTAAATTAACTTCAGTTTATCTTTTTCTATATGGTAGAGGGCCTAGTCAATCAGTTATGAACAGGGATGAACATGGGAGTCGGTGAACTTTGTGGGGCTCCCTTCAACAAACACATGTACTGGTTGTCCCAGGTTACTATATTCTGCTTCCTCTTCAATCCCAGCTGCCAAAGGACACTCACAAATAATAGCAGGAATCCTAATATGACAGCTATACCAGAGGAAATATTGGTATATTGATTATAAGATAAGGACCAAGGAATATTTGCCTATTATTATCTGCATATTTGTCGATGTCTCATGTCCTAACCGGAATTATCCTATCGGCCAGGAATGACTTGCTAAGATTTCGGAATTGGACACTTCCCTTGTCTATGTGATGACTGTGTGTTGATAATGGAAGCACTCATTTACTCTCCATAACACTTCGTCTAAGGGAGCTAATTGTGGAACTTGTTCTGTTGCACTCGAGACGCTGGTGACCTACTCTGGCCTTCCCTCCTCACGCATCCTGGTTCTCTAGTCCAATGTCAAAAGTTGTTAAGAGGGCCTAAATTTACTCAATTTTCGTACTAATAATTAATTTGATTCAAGTGAAATCTTTTTATGATGTCCAAAGTTATGCTACAGTCCAAAGACTGCTGTATTAAGAATGTTTCCCATTAATAGAGCTGGTGAATCTAATACCGACATGTGGTAATGATATCTCGTTTTCCACGGGAGGAAATTTTGCTTTCTGTGAGGAAAATTCCAGTGTGCCATGTCTTCTATGAGTTAATTAAATATTAGTAAATGGTGTCGGGTTTTCCGTCAACGAGGCTGTGAGTACTGGAGCGTTGTGGTGGTGGTGGGGCGAGGCTGTGAGTATTGGAGCGTTGTGGTGGTGGTGGGGCGAGGCTGTGAGTACTGGAGCGTTGTGGTGGTGGTGGGGCGAGGCTGTGAGTACTGGATCATTGTGGTGGTGGTGGGATGAGGCTGTGAGTACTGGAGCGTTGTGGTGGTAATGGGGCGAGGCTGTGAGTACTGGAGCGTTGTGGTGGTGGTGGGGCGAGGCTGTGAGTACTGGAGCGTTGTGGTGGTGGTGGGACGAGGTTGTGAGTACTGGAGAGTTGTGGTGATGGTGGGACGAGGCTATGAGTACTAGAGCGTTGTGGTGGTGGTGGGGCGAGGCTGTGAGTACTGGAGCGTTGCGGTGGTGGTGGGACACAGGTCTGGCACAGATCTTGGCCAGCACCCACCTTGCATCTGTCTTTAAGAGCTGCTCGAGGTTCTCTGGTCTGGCCGGGTACTTGACCACAGTGAGGCAGGCAGCAAGGATGTCACAATAGACATAATAGACTCACAACAGCAGCAACAAGCGTGTAGACACAGATCTTGGCCAGCACCCACCTTGCATCTGTCTTTAAGAGCTGCTCGAGGTTCTCTGGTCTGGCCGGGTACTTGAGTACAGTGAGGAAGGCAGTAAGGTTGCCCCGGTAAGCCGTGCCCACGATGAAGGCCAACACCAGCCACGCTCCCACCACAATCTGTGTGGAGCTCCTGCTGGGGAGGCGTCTGGTGAGGTCCTGCCCCAGAAGCGTCCCCACCACGTCCTGCGTCACCAGCAAGGGTCCTGGGGGACTCCTTCCTTCTCCTTCCTCTGAGGTGATGGTCACCTCCAAGCGAGCAACCTGAGAGTCAACAGCAGTGAGCGAGCGACATGCATGTAAACAGCTCTGCCCAAAAAAATTTTAATATTTGTATCTATAAAAAAAGAATGTGTTTAAAACTGGAGGTTCGATGCTTGGGGGGCTTGTCTAACAAAACCTTGCAGGGTGACTGGTCATTATTCGGGGATAGTCATTACAAGATTGGGGTCAACTTCCATAATCTCCCAATTCCACGAAATCGCAAATTATTCAATTTTTTCCATTTAGCTAGGTACCATACATTGTTCATGTCAGTGTTCAGTGCCCTGCTGATGTCGAGTCGACATCAGCGAGACTCTGCACATCAAAAAATCAACACCAGCATTCAACAGCCAATTAACGCATAACTATATTCTACCCACTTCAAGACCCTGAAGAAACATAGAAGCAGCAAGAGAAAATATGGGTCAATAGGCCTTCTGTAGTTACTTCCATTCTTATGTTTTCATACCCAACTTATACCCACCTCACCCAAAACTTTTGTGTCATATCATCTCACCCAAAACAAATATAAGCGTGATGTATGCTATATGTAAATCAGTCTTTGAAAATGTATGAAACCCTTAAGAAATGTAAGGGTTTCATACATTCAATGTATTGCATAACCGCTCAAAACCTAAAAGATGATTAACAAATTTAGGTTTTTTACACGTCAACCCGAAGTCTAACCCCAGAGAGAGAAGTTCTTTCTCAATGGGAGAAGTTTTTCTGTAAGGAGTCGTTTGAGGAGACTGTTGCAGCATTGTTATCCTCAAGTAGACTTTAGATTTATTTTTGTCAACACAAATACCATAGGCTCTTATTTTAAATTTAAAGATAAAGTGCCTACCCCCTTGTGCTCAAGTGTCGTATATATGTATAATTGTTCCAGCTGTAATGCTGGATATATCGAGAGTTCCATTCGGAACTTTAAGATTAGGATACTTGAGCACCGGGGAGTATCTTTTAGGACTGGATTACCATTGTCTAAACCAGCATTTTCGGAGATTAGAAACCATTGTTATGAGTTTAATCATTCTCTGCTGGAATCTGATTTTAAAATTCTGGACACTTGTATGAATGGCCAGTCAGCCTTGAGAGTAATGGAATCCTTATATATAAAGGAGCTGCGGCCTCTGTTAAATAGCAACCTTTCAGCTGTTCAATTGTACACTGTATAGTGCACAGTAGGCCCTGTAACTTGATTTATAGTTCATTATGTATATATATATATATATATATATATATATATATATATGAATATGTGAACTGGAGAATGTTGGCAGCTCTCCTCTCGCCGCCACTGGCAATTCGGACAGCTGGGCAAAATTTAAAGGGGTTACTCGGACCCTTTCGAGGGAGGTAGCTCCGTCAACGATAGTCCTCTCATCCACCAACTACCACACTCGTCCCACGCTGTCTTCTCCAGGTAGTAGAAATACTGGGCTGACCTACAGCCTACTCTAATACTAACATAAAGAGAAACAAACTAATATAATTTATATATACTGGCCTACCTAGCCTAGTCATCAAGGAAAAATGGGAGGGAAATAATGATCTACCTTAAATGTTCCTAATTATCGACGCCTGTCTTCCTATGGTAGAAGGTACACGGTTCCCAGGTCGCTCCTCGGCGTTCCAGTTGCATGTCACAGTCCTCAGGCATCATAGAGAAATCGCGTCATTGCCGTTCCTATTCCTTCAATTCAGATCTTTCAAGCTGGTCCAACCAGTGGTCTCTGAGCACGTTGCTTTCCACATTCGCTCCATCACCGAGACGTTTTCTCGTGGATCCAGACACGGTGTTTCCCCTCCGGAATCTCAGTAGATAAGACCCGGCCACGGCAGCTCTGCACTTCGTACCAGAGTGGGACCCATTGGGCGCCAGACTTGCCCTTCCTCCATTGCAGACTAACAGCCACGATTACTTGGCACTTTTTTGCCCACTAAACTCGGCTTCTTCGTGCTTCCCAGAAGTACACTAATCCTCTGCGACAATGGTAGACTGCATAAGGCTGCTCAATCCACTGGGCGAGGCTCCCAAAACCTCCAATCTTGAGGGCTCACTGACGCACTTTTACTCGCGTCAACGGTCTGTGAATCTCTGCTGGTGCAGTGACCTACAGGTCCTGAGCCAGGCCTCCCGGTGACGTCACAGTGGGCTCTGATTGGTCAGTCCCATCACGTGACCTCGGCCAGCCAATCGCCAGCCTGCTGGCGCCAAACCGATAGAGGCGTCGCCATTTTGTATGTACAAGGGGCATAACCCCCCTCCTTACCTGCAAAGCTTTTAAATGCCAATTTCTCGATAAATATGTAATCTATCCGGTAGCCTCTCATATCAAATAATTCCCTGCATCTCAGGGAACCTGCAAGGTAGGAGGATATGACTCTTAACGCTGGGAAGAAATAGGAGAAGGCACCGTAACATACCCCTTCCCATAAAATAAGAGTCATATAGGTTAGTAAATCCGGGAAATGGCATCCTCTATCACGGTCTCAATTTCTTTAATATGTCTGATTTCCAACCAGTATTCTTGGCAACAGTAGAGACCATCTCGTCAGCCTTTGGTTTGAGTTCTTCATTTTATGCATGAACGCCATGGGATTGTGATCGGTGAACACTCACACCGGTCTAGTACCTCCTCCCACATAGACGTCAAAATACTTCAATGCCATGATCAGGGCTAGAGCTTCATTCTCCATCGTGCTATAATCTCACTGGTACTTCTCAAACTTCTTCAAGTAGAATGCCACTGGACAGTGAGCTCCGTTCTTCTCCTGAGCTAACATGGCTCCTATCCCCACGTCGCTAGCATCGACATACAAAATAAATTCTGACTCGTAGTCAGGTGAAATCAACACTGGTGCTTCTGTTAATAATTTCTTCGTCTTCTCGAACGACTCTTGACACACCTCACCCCACTTCCATCTAACATTCTTAGATAGCAATTCTGTCAGAGGGAGTGCCACCGTTGAGGAGATTTTACAAAATCCGCAGTAATATCCTATCATCCCGAGGAAGCGTAACAGCTCTTAATTCCCCGAAGAATCGGAATATCCGATTCTTCGGGGAATCGGATATTCCTTGATAGCCACCACCTTTTGTTCCATGGGAGCTACTTCTCCTTGGCCCACGACAAAACCTAAATTCTCTAATCGGACCTTCCCGAGCTCGCTTTTGGCAAGATTAATTGTCAGGTTTGCTTCTTCCAACCTTCTGAATAATTCCCCTCAGTCGATTCATGTGTTCCTTCCATCTGTCGGCATACACTACTATGTCGTCGATGTACACGGTGCAGCTTTCCATTTCTCATAGTACTTCATTCATGAATCTTTGAAACCAACTTCCACTATTTTTCATGCCGAACGGAAGTTCTTTGTACTGGTACAAACCATCCGGAGTAGTGAATGCAGAGATCTTTCTTGCACTAGGAGACAAAGGTATTTGGTAGTAGCCTTTAAGCAGGTCGACCATGGAAAGAAACCTTGCATTTCCCACTTGGTCGAGCCAGTCACTTACTCGGGGCTCGGGGCATAGGGTGGGAATCTGACACGGTGATGGAATTTACTTTGTGATAATCAGTGCAAAAGCGAAACGAGCCGTCACCCTTCTTCACTAACACACAGGGTGAGCTCCATGCACTGTTGTTAGGCTGCGTAAGATCATTTGCTAACTAAATATTCCACCTCCTGTCACATGATCTTCCTCTTCTCTGGACTAACCCGATATGTGCTCTGCTTGATCGGCTTTCCACCCCACACATCTACATCGTGCACCACACTCTTGTGCCGTCGGGACACATCTGTGAAGATTGATTCGTTCTTCCTTATTAGAGTAACTAAGTTTCCTCTCTGTCTTTCGTTCAGATGATGTAGCTTCTCTTCCAGGCGCATCAAACTTTCTGAGTTAGAAAGACGCGTACCTTCGGTACGGAGCCACTTTCCTTCTTCTGCCGGCAACTCTCGGTTCATTTCCATACATAGAACCAACTTCTCTTTTTCTGACTGTGTCGTTTCCTTCCCATTTGCGCGCTCCTGTTCTTCCTGGAAGTAGGGCTTCAATTAGTTGATGTTACGGCCACTTTGGGCCAGTAACCAGGTTCTTGCTGTTATAACTTCTTCTTCTATATCCAACCCCAAAACGATGGTAAGCTTTCAAGAACTGGCTGTGGTAAGTAGTAGTGCAAAGACAAGGGGGGGGGGTGAACAACACACAATTACACCTTCACTACCATATATATATTATAATAAAGTATTACTTCACGTATTTACCATATTGTCTCTTTCACTCAGGACAATATATTGGCAGTGTTCATCAATCCCAGTGAATCCACTTTCCAGGTACACGTCGTCCACAACTAATGGCAAACACTGGCGAGTTCACCTTCAACATGGGCCAATCCACTCACACCGTATCTTCACAATGTGACAATACCCCACCTATGCTCTCCAGAAACACACTGGCAGAGGGTTTCAGCAACACGCTGACAGGGGTCTCAAATAGTCACATACAGGGGTAGCTAGCACCTTGCAGAAGTCTCATGTCGCTCACTAACAGCACTTGTCAACAGACGCACCACTGTTGTCTCGTAACTCTCACTGGCCAATTCCGGTACGTTGGTCCATACAACACTGCATACATCAGCAGGTAACACACTGCTCTAACTGATGGCGGCCACTTAGTCTTCTCACAGGACCAAATCAAGTGTTCTTGGACTGCGCAAGGTGAACTGCCCTCTTCGGTGCAATCGCCTGCTTACATTACTTCTGTGAACATAAAACGTTATTAACTAGATGGATGCCCTTAGGATAACACCCGTCAACCGGGGAACTGACATTGTAAATTGCATCCACAACCTAGATGGTGTTGATCTCGATACACCACCCACCAGAGGTCACCATCATCGACCTCTTCTGACTGAGGCAGGATACTGGAGCCTTCCACTGATACCACGCCACCACCAACATATGGTGTTGTCTGTGTAGCATTTCATATCGAGGAGTTGGAGTGCAGACCCATGGATGGCGCTGAAATCGCCACTCCATACTCTAGTGACTGTGTCGATACCGTAACAGTTGACGTGACATACTTGTGTCTTGCGGAGGTGAATCGGCTTGCTGATTTCGTAGTTCACTTGACCTACTCCCCTGACGACTGAGTGTGGACCACCAAAGCATGATTCCGTCACTTTACCTCTCCCAGGTAGCAGCATCATCACTCTGGCTCCAACCTCAAACTCCATTGGGATAGTATTTTTGTCGTACCAAATCAACATCTTCTCTTGCGCTGTCTTCAGGTGTTCAGCAGCCAGCTCCTTCGCCGTTTTCAACCGTTCCCTAAACTTTCGCACATATTCCTCCATTGTCATTAATTTCTCCCTCGACGTCAACTGTTCCTTTAACATCACCAACGGACTTCTTTCTTCGTGTCCGAACACCAGTTGGAAAGGAGAGAATCCCAGAGACTCTACCACAGCATCTCTTATCACAAACAGGGCTGGATAGATAGCCTCATCCCACTTTTACCTTCCGCACTGGGATCACTTCTGGAAATCGCATCGAAGCGCACATGATGGTTATCAAGTAGTTATTTCCTCTTTTTGTTCTAGGTAAGGGTCCCACAGTGACGATAATTAGGCGTTCGAACGCATAACCAAACACAGGAACTGGTACTAAAGGTGCTTTCGGGATGGAAAGGGACTTTCTTTCCCTCCCTTTTTGGCAAGGGAAACTTGTCTTGCAGACTCTCCTTATATCTGTGTCCATGCCCGGCCAATAAAAATGTTTCCGAATCCGGCATAAGGTATTGGTCACTCCCAAGTGATCTGCAGGATCCACTGAGTGTGCAAGCTCAAGTACTGCACCTCAATACCACGCCGGCACCACCACTTGACGCCTCACACCCAGCATTCCATCACTCGCCTATTCTCGTACCAGTCTCCACCGTCTCATTAACACTCCCGTTTCCATAAAGAAGTGAGTCAGTGACTAGGGTCCAGCGAGACCTCTTTCAGTCTCCCGCACCAACTCTGGAAACCCTTCCCTCTGCAGCTCACCTAGACGGGCGCTGTCAATACCTAGAAGACTGGTGAGAGTAACCTGGAAACCCTATCCGACTCTTCCTCACCTGGCACTTGTCCTCCGGTCTCCTCTCCGAACAGATGACTGAGCCCCAGATCACCCGGCATGTCCTCTTCGGTGTGACCAGATCCGCTCACATCATCCTTCTCGACGTTCCGTCCGGACCTCACCGCGCATACCGGAAATGCTGCTCTTGCAATTTCCGTTGCATCACCCTCGGGGTCAGTCGTGCTGCTCCTTCTGTAGGGCTCTACACACTTTTCACCCTTAATTGAGTTCGGGAGAACACATCCCCACAGAAGTCGTTTCCTAAGATCACCTGAGCTTCCATTCTAGGAAGCAAAGCACAGACCCATACCACACGAGTCTGGCAACCATAGTTAGAATTAAGAGTCACCTCGCGGAGGGGTATCCTCACTTGTCCCCCCCCCCCCAACGTTCTTATCAGGGCTACCCCTGTACTGGAATTCCTGTAGTCCTCAGGGAAGAGGGATTCACTAACTAGGATGAAATCGGATCCCGTGTCCCTCCGCATCCTTGCTGGGACTGGATCAGCTCCTCCTATCTTCACCGTTCCCGCACATATAAAGGGGTGAACCCTCTTTTTGCCTCATCACTGGCGTCTTCCCTAGAGTATCGTCCGCTTCTTCACTTCCTACTCTAATGAACGCCACGTTACCACCGCACTTGGGTCGGTCACATTCTCGAGCATAGTGTCCTCGACCTCCTCAATTAAAGCATCGGCCGCCTCCCCTGGGCAACCCACCACCAGTCACCCTGGCAACACCAACAGCAGACGTTCCCTGGGTCCTCCTTAGACTCCCCCGTCGTCGATTCTCCTTCTACCGAGTTAGGTCCGCTGCTCACACCTTGGGGTCTCCTCCACGCGTCCTTCGAATTCTTGAACCGGTTCACTTCACTGAGTAAGCCTGTCTTGGGAGAGTCCCCGCCCGACCTCGCTCCTCCTGAACTCTTGAAGTTCTCACCAAATTTTGAGTAAAGCGAGTATTTGGGCGATCACTCCCTACAGAGATGTAATGCCTCCTCCAGCATGTCGGCTCTGTCCGCTGCGGCTTTTAGGCACTTAATTCCTTCCTCGCTCCATGTCACGAGCAGTCTCAGCATACGACTTTCCCGATGCTCTCGTGAACTCACGAAAACGTTTCCAGTAGACCTCAGGAGTCAGTCTTTATGAATGGAGCACCGCCTTCTTGACTGCGTCGTACCTGATGCACTCCTCAATGTCTAGCATGTTATAAGCTTCTCTGGCCTCACCAGTCAATCTGCTCTGCACCAATGCAGCCCACTCCTCCTCCGGCCATTCCTTCAACGTTACTATCCACTCGAAATGATAGAAGAAAGACTCGGCCGTAAGAGGTTCGAAGGTCGGTAGGTCGTGTTCCCTTGCCTTGAGGTCACCGAGACTAGCCCACGCTCAGCATGTCTCAGCTCGACCTCCTTGTTCGCCTCTTCCTTGGCTCGCCGCATCTGTAGCTGAGCGTCATGTTCCTCACGTCGCAGCTGTGCCTCTCTCTCGTCTCGCTTCAACTGCACCTCTCTTTCTTCTCACTTCAACTACGCCTATCTCTCTTCTTGTTTCAGCTGCTCTTCTCTCTTTCTCA